GGGGGGGGAGGGGTGCCCTAGAGCCCCCTGCCTTGGAAGATCTCCCCATCCTCCCTCCCCCTTCATCCCCCAATTGGCTTCTCTCCCTTCTCCTTCCACCCAGTGGGGCTTATGGACTAGAGATCCCCCGCCTCCTCCGAAGAGAACACCTGCCTGCTTGCCTGCCCGCCTTCCTCTTCCTCCTCCACCAACTTGGGAAGAACTTCGCCCTCAGGATCCCACTCGACCTTCCTTTGGTGAAGGGTGCTGCAAATCCTTTTGGGGCCCAACCCTGATCTCGATGCCTCTCTCTCTCTGCACCTAGATCTGTCAATAAAGAGATGCTTCTCACTCCTTCCATCCTTCCTGGTCTGACACTCCAAGACCTTTCTTTACTTTAGCACTTTCTTGGGCAGCATGTCTGGGAGGAGGGGTGGGCTAGCTGGCCTCTGGGGTCTCTCCTGGTTACGTTTGGACCAGATCCATCATGGGTGGGATTAACATGACTCTCCAGCTGTGGCTGGACTATACCCCACATCACCCCCTATAAATTCCCCCCAAACCCCATTGGTATTTCAAGTTGGCCAGGATGGGTCTGCGTGCCAGGTTTAATGGGAGTCATTGTGTTCCTTAGAATCATAGACTTGGAAGAGACCTGGTGGGCCATCCAGTCCAACCCCCTTCTACCAAGAAGCAGGAATATCACATCCAAAGCACACACACACACACACACCCCCAACAAATGGCCATCAAGCCTTTGTTTAAAAGCCTCCAAAGAAGGAGCCTCCACCATAGGGCAGAGAGTTCCACTGCTGAACAGCTCTCTCTCACAGTCAGGAAGTTCTTCCTAATGTTCAGGGGAAATTTCCTTCCACTCCTGCAATTTGAAGCCATGGCTCCATTGTGTCCTCATCTCCAGGGCAGCAGAAAGAAAGCCTGCTCCCTCCTCCCTAGGACTTCCCCTCACCTCTTGATCCCTGGCCCTCCTTGTGTCTCCTCTCAGCCTTCTCTCATGCAGGCTAAACACACCCAGCTCTTTAAGCCACTCCTTATAGGGCTTGTTCTCCAGACCCTTGATTGTGGGTGAACTACAACTCCCAAAATCCATGGTCAAATTCCTCCAATCCTCACATGTATTGAAAATTGGTCATGTTGGGTTTTTCTTCCAAGTTTGGTTCAAATCCATCATGGGAAACTATAACTCACATTGTCCTGAGTCAACCCCTCCCCCAAACATCCCTCCAGCATTTTCTGTTCATGGGAGGGGGGG